TACCCTAAAATTTGTAACAATTGTTACTGGAAGTCGTCTGTTAACCCGACAGTTCTGCAAAAGAGAGCGGTTGGAGAGAGTAGTTTTGGCGGTTCTTTCGGTGAGAGTTTGCAAATTCTTGGTGGACAAATTTCTTCTTGCAATCACTTGAAACTCCTCTGCTCATTCATCAACATTGAATCAGATGTTGTCTATTGTTTGTTTATTTCCTTTTGTGTTTTCAATTTGAAAATATTTTTTTTAGAATTAGAATTAGACTAATTGGTTTTGGAGAACAAGTTTACAAAATGTGAAAAACGTAAAAATTAATACGTAATAAGAATATAAAGACTATTCCCAATGTTTTTAGACAAACGCCATTAGCAACACGTTTAAAGGAATCCGGGAAACACATCAAATCTATCTTCCTTTTATTGCTCATATTTTTATTTTATTCCTAGTTTGCCGTTTTATTTATAAAACTTGTAAAATTGGTGGTGCTCCCTTTCTTTTAATTCTTTTAATGCGGGGACAAATTGGTTTGTTTTGACAAAACAGCTGATTAGTTGCAAGCTTCTGCAGGAATACCGTCTGTTTACTTTTCGTATATTCCTTTCAAAAGAAAAGGAAACTATTCCAGCAGGAAAAGTAACCAGACACAACTAATACTGACATTACAATCCATACAGGTAGGCCTGTTTCTTGAAACTTTTTCCAACTTAGCCAACCTTGTCTTCATTGTACTATGCACAAACAAAAATACAATTAAAGGTGAGAGTACATAAGCGGCTTGGTATCATGGCTGGACATATTAATGTCAAATTATAAGGGGAAAAGACGATAGGATTCGAGTGTGGCTCTGGCACCTGTTTATGGTATGTCACAAATTAAGCCATGCAAAGACTTCAAGCTGCTTACGTACACACACCTTAAGGTTGCCATGTTAAGCCAAGAAAATAAAAAAATAAAATCGACTGGTAACAGTGCCCTACCCTGATTTCAATGTACCATGCTTATTTCTCTGGTAAAAATCGTCTTTATATGTAGCTCCACGATTTCGTAGACTTGACAAAGCAAATTTTGAGAAAATGGTTAGGGTATTGCTCAATAAGAAAGGTTGCTCAACTTCAAAGAAACTAGAACTCTGTGCTGGAGTCTTGTAAGGTTATATAGACTTTTAAACATGCAACAGTTGCCTTTTTTATATTTATTTAAAAAAAATCTTATATTGGCAAAAACCCGCGAAATAAGTATTGAATTTCGGTGTTATTCCACAAGATTGAACATAAAATAATAGGACAATACAATTTTATCACAAAATTGCTCAATTTGTTACCCATTTCGTGCATTTATTTTGCAACCAAATTTGAAACAACTTCAAATAGAACAGTGTTGGCTTGATTGTGCGGGATACCATAGTATTTTGTTGTTGCAAAGTGGTCAGGATTAATCCCTTTAATCCTTTTTTATGAAAACAACGTTTGTTTATTAGTGGAGAACGATGGAAATGTTTACCAGGTGGTAAGGCAGGGAATACCTAGGTTTTCGTTCATGTAAAACGAAAGCATAACAAGTGGAGAAAGATGAAAATTTTTACAAATGCGTTTGTAAGATTTAGAAAATTTTCGAAAATAATTTAAGTTTTATGTAATTCTTTGGTTCCGCTTCTATTGAGCTTACGTTCCCGTCACTTGGGTAAAAAAGTTTTTTGTCATAGAAGTTATTGCACCCTACAACACTATGTGTTGGGGGTATTATAAGTTTGATTGGGCCAAAAATTATGTAACACCTCGAAATATTGATTTCCCACATAGGAAAGTATATATGGATCTTCCTATCTCGCCGAGCTGAGTCGATCTAGCTATGTATGTCCGTCCGTCCGTCTGTCCATGTTAATTTGTAATCACTCTACAAGTCGCAATTATGGCCCGATCTTCACGAAATTTAGAATGGAGGTGGGGCTAGGGTCAGAATAGAACCCTATTTCTTTTGGAGATGATCTCATAATATCTAGGGGTCAAAATGGACCAAAAACTGAAAAAATCCTGATTTTGTAGGTGCTCTACAGGTCGCAATTATAGACCAATCAAAGAGGAAGTTAGCATGGGGCTAGAGCTTAGGGCTGGGCAGAAGTCTTCCAATTTTGATGGTCATCGGGTAATTTTTAGTGGGTTAAATAGGCCACAACATTTATGTTAAATAAAAGTCAAATTTTCCATTAAACCGCGAATATCTTTAATCCCGGCAAAATCACAAATAGACGAACAGGTCAATACTGACCGTTACGTAGATGCCGATAGTAAATATATCGGTTATATATAGCGAAATAGATACAATGTATATATAGAAAGGAGGGGGATGTTAGCTAAAATGCTTATATCTCAAGAATGGCTGGACCGATTTTGACAAATTCAATTCAGAACGCCCTCTTGGCATAAAAGTATAAAATCTAAAAAAATTATGCCAATAAAGATGTTAATATAGACTTTGTAGTATTTTGTGACATATTTTATTTTCTCAAATTTTTTATCGCATGCGATTTTTTCAATTTAACTTATAATATTTTGTAATATTTTTTCACATTACAACACAGGTTGGGGATATTAAATGCATATTGCAATTATCGTCCGATCCTCACGAAAAGGGTAGGGTTAGGCTCAGAAGGGCTAGGCCTATTATTTTCAAAGATGTCCGCAATATATTTAGGATTTGAAATGAACCAACAATTAAAATTTTTCTTAATTTTGCATCCGTTATAAAGCTCATAAATAGAAACCAAAGGACACGAAATCTCGCATGAAATTAGAGTTTAGGACAGTGGGTAGAATAGACCGCTATTTCTGTCTGAAAAATACCAACATTACTTACAGGCGATATCCGAAATACACAAAAGGCGAACTTCTGGCTTTTTAGCCAAACATCGTAGACAAGAAAATCATATAGATGAGTCTAAATTTGGAGACACAGATTGGCCTCCTGCTTTTGGAGATGATCGCAAAATATGCAAAAAAACAGAGAAAAAATCCTAATCACACAATTGAAGCCATTCGACACGCCTGAGAAGAGCGTTAAGAAGAATTAGGAAGAATTCTAGCATTTTAGATGACTATTGAATTATATTTAGCTGTAAAATGGACCACAACAACTAACAGCACGACGGAGCGCGTAAATATTGGACAAATATCCCTGGTCAGATTGCTGAGGGTAATATCTGGGCTGTGCACCGCGAAATCTTCCAAAATGGATTTGGACATAAGGGGGCTTCTAACATATTGTACTGTTGTAGGGTATCACATGGTCAGCCCCGCACGACTATAGCTTTCGCTTACTTGTTTTTAAAATAACTTCTGGGGAGAATGTCCCAGACAAAAATCAAGTGAACTGATGAGGATTGGTGGCTCTTTCCGAAACCTAGGTATTCCCTGCCTGGTAAACATTACCATCGTTCTCCACTAATAAACAAACGTTGTTTTTATAAAAACAACAGCAAAGGGATTAATCCTGACCATTTTGCAACAACTTAATTTAAATTATTGAATTTTTTATTCAAAACAATACACACATACACAAAATGTGCATATATATTGACAGAATAAGGACACAAAACGAAAAAAGTTGTATTTAGAGAATAGCTTTGTTCCACCTTCTGTAATTATACCAGACAAGGTACGATAAGTTAGATAAAGTTGCAAGAAAACAGTCCTATCTGTAATGATTGTCATATCAGAATTACTATCTAAACAAATGCAATAGGTTGTTTTAAATCAAATCAGCAGAACAAATTGTTGAATTGATTTTGAATAAATAAAAATGAAAATGGAATGAAAGGTCAAGATTTCTTTTCAAAATCATATACAGTATGTCCCATGGTACAATGATATCAAGGTAGGGCCATGGTACAATGAATTCAAGGTAGGGCAGAACTATCATATGATTTAAATTTTTTTATTTTTCTGGCTTAATATGTCAACTTCATTTGCTTTTGTGTGTGTGTCTTCTTTTCAATAATAAAAATTGTTCAGAAAATATTCAAATTCGGGTGTTTTCAAAATGCTTATTGCAACGAATGTATCGACAAAATCTACAGTTTTTGTCGCGAAATAGATATATAGTACATGATTTTGAAAAGAAGTGTTGACCTTTCATTCAGTTATCGCGTTTTTCTATTATTTATTCAAAATAAGTGCAACAAGTTGTTTGATTTTTTATTGTTTTGATACTAATTCTGACATTACAAGCCAAACAGGTAGACCTCTATACTTGCAATTTTTTCAAAGTCGGCCTACCTTCTCTTCATTGTACCATGGTATGTCTTATATTACTTTACACACTCTTACTTTTCAATTTAAGAGAATTCTGGTAAATCGGTCATCTGTCAAATATGTCCTTGGCATATTTGGGAACGTTAAATATGTCTCTTGTGATGCAGTCCTGATAAAATTGGTTGCAGGGAGTTTGATCTACGGCGATGTTACTTATCTGATAAAAGTGCTTGCGATTCCTCCACGCAGTAGCGCATTTTTGAGTAGAGGTTCCATCAGTGGTCCATTCATTTAGAAAATTATGATACATTCTCTTCTGTATTATCTCTCACAAACCCACAAGGTACGTGCGTATGCTGATGTCCTCTTTAAAATGATCTAAGATCAATTTCGAGCTGAACTGAAGAAAAGTAGCGCGCAAGCCATAGTATTACTAGTGAGTGATTCAGAATTTAGTAGTAGAATTATCGTCATATAAAACATCCATATTGCATTCTAAAGGTACCCAACATACCAAAATGGCTTGAAAATAATATTACAATAAGCTTATGAACATAAGCCTTAAGCTTGAGAAAACATTGAAAATTTTTACGTAAAAAGTATAGAATAATCGAAATGGAACCGTTATTTATAAACTTATACTTAAAATTGTAGAATGAGCTTACGAAAATAATATTATATTAAGCTTTTTTTGTAATAGTATAAAATATTAATTTTTAATCATTTTACATATGGTACAATAAAAGTTAAGGTAGAGAGCTGATTACAATTTTTTTCTAAGTGTGCCCGACTTCTGCCAATTTTGTGTATGTATTTGTTGCTTTGAAAAATAAAAACAAAATATTTTCAAAATCAATGATTGGAAGAAACTTAAATTGCGGGGTGCACATTAATAATAGGTGTGTCTGGTTACTTTTCCAGCAGGAATTGTCCAGCAACTTCTTTCTGAGAGAGTAAGGTAGTTTTATTCTCTTTTGCAAGAAAATTACGAGAAGTAAACAGACGGTATTTCTGCAGAAGCTTGCAACTAATCATCTGATTTGTCAAAACAAACCAATTTGTCCCCCATTAAAAGAATTAAAATAAAGGAAGCACCACCGATTTTACAAGTTTTATAGATAAAAATGTTGGAAATAGTCTTTTATTTTCATATTACATATAAATATTTACGTTTTTCACATTTTGTAAAGTTGTTCTCCAAAAACAATTAGTCTTGCGAATTCCAACAAAAAAATGTTCAAATTGAAAGCACAAAAATAAATAAATAAACAATGTAAAACATCTGATTGAATGTCGATGAATGAGAAGAAGAAGAGTTGCAAGTGATTGCAAGAAGAAATTTGTCCAGCAAGAATTTGCAAACTCTCACAAAAAGAACTGTCAACATTTCTCTCTTCAACCGCTCTCTTTTGCAGAACTTTCGGGTTAACAGACGACTTCCAGTAACAATTTGTAACAATTGTTACAAATTTTAGGGTAACCAGACACACCTAATATTAACGAGATTTACCATGGAATTGAAAGTTTGAACACTTAGGATCATATTTTTGAGAGAACATCCAGGCATTTCATTCATCTTTCGCGCTATTTGACACAATTTAGACGTGAACAAAAATATCAAATAAATGAAAACAACTTGCTGCCTATAATTTTGAATAATTCCGACAGGAAGCGGGCATAGCCTCAGGGCTGTATTTATGTAGTTTTACGTAGCTTATTGTACCATGATTTTACACATTTTTTTTTTTTGATGGACATCCCAGTTGTAACTGCCTCATGTGGCCTTAATACCCTGACGCTTTTTTCTCCCTCATTTGAGCTTCTGCATCTCTTCCACTAAAACTACACATCTATTAAATTCCTGCAACTTTTTTGATGCCTCCAATCTGAAATGGGATTGAAATAATATGTATCACAGAATCCTGGATTTATTATTCATCCATACCTCAAGAATCCGGCCCAGAAATGGGTCCTAAATTCGCGTGATTTTGCTTTTTACCAAAGAAAACAATTTTTGCTGACAATTTTAACAAAAAAATCAAAACAAATTTGTCAACAAAGGACAGATTTGAGAAAAGTTTGTGGAACATAAGTGTTTCTCAAGCATTGTTGAAAAATTATATTTTTATAATATTATTATCAAGCTGTATTGTATTTTTGGTATGTTGGGTATACTCATGGCACAATTGTACGTGTCTTCCTTTTATTGAAAATATTTTGTTTTTATTTTATTTATTACTTTTTATTTTTATTTTTTTTTTTTTTTTTTTTTTCAAAACAAAGAATACATACACAAAATTGGGCACACTTAGGAAAAAATTGTAATCCGCTGGTAGCTCTACCTGACCTTTTTATTATACCATGGGTTCACCTACCTGGTATAACATAATTTGGTGTGTTATAGGATTGAGGAAGATCCTGACTTGTCAGCGAATGACCATGACCAGGATGCTTGGAAATGACTTTAGCTTTTTATGTACTTGCACCTTAAGTTTGGGTCTGGTCCGTGGCTTTTAATTGACAGGACGCGGTACCTTAAATGCGCTAAGACCTTTAAAGTGCATGGAAAATAAAGGAGCTTTTTAAGAACTTCGTGCAGAGAACTAAGTTCAGAGACTTAAATATTTCCTCCGTTTGTAAATGAACTGTCTGAGCCTCCGGGCTTGCATCGGTTAGAAATTTTGGAGAGTATTTGGCCGATTAGAATTAGAAAGCTATTGATTGAATACATCGAATCAGGCTTTAGCTCCTGCATGAGCTATCGCCACTAGGTTTAACGAATTGCTTAAATCGACGGACCAGTCGCATGTCGTATCCTCAATTGGAAGAAACGCCGATTAACAGTCGGGAAAACACTTATAAAAAATTAAAAAATGACAAAAAAGGCGCTGTTTTTAAATTGGGAACGTTTATTACAAAATTCAAAAAAGATTAAATAATCTAGGCAGTGTTTCCAAAACAGGAGCCAACATCTCTGCGGGATATAGATTGCTCTCCCTTAAGCAATTAACGAAGTTCAAGACAAATTTCGCATGATAGAGTAATGAGTGATCCTCGCTCATATGGGGGCATATGACTTCTTCCAGTGCTGGAGAGGGTTTAAAGAGTTTTCCTCGGAAGGTGGGTAGAGGTAGTTTAGCTGTAATAATTTTGACGTGATATTAAAAAAATAAATTAAAAAGTACTTTATATTTATAAAAGTTCGTATAATTTAATATTTTAGCATCCATTTGTTCAAATAAATTGCATGTACAAAACTACACCACAAAACTATACACAAATATACAAAACGAAATTGACTAAAGAAAGTACCACAATATTGGATATGGGAATAATAGAGTGACTAAAGCAGACATTTCCAAAATTACAATAGTCGTCCTTGCAATGACAACACATGGCTTGAGCTTGTGTACACTCTGCAATGGGACCGCAGCCACGCCAAAGTAAAAATCTTCGTTCTATAAAGTAAAAGTAGGACATTAGTTGCACCATGATTAATAAAACATTCTTTACCATATGCATTTATGTTGCCCCATTGACCTTTAACAGTGGCACACGTATCTTCACAAGTCGTTGTTAATGTACTATTGCCGGAATCGTCTAGATTATCACATTCTTCGTTATCGCGGGTGTTGCAAGCATAGCAATGGACACTACCAACTGAACAAAATTATATGTATCCAAATTAAAATCTGTATTTATAATTCTGTTTTTACCTTCTTTTATAAAAATGGATACGAGCAAAAAAAGCGCAAAAATGTTTAATGTTATCATTTCTTAAATTTTGAGAATTGTGTAATTGCTTAGAATTCTACCGTTTGAGTAACAAATATTAATATGACAAAATGCGCACAGACTACCGATAATATATTTGCAAACAAATACATATAAAATATTATTGTAGTCGTTCCTTTTTTAAATTATAATATTGAAAACAAGTTCACTTGACGAATCTTTAGAATTCTAGTTTCAGGATGTAGTTTGATATTTAGTTTGGGTTTATGCCGTATGGCCAGAGAGGGTATGTATCATTTGATACGGTCAAAACGTGCCTAGTAGAAATAACGGTTTTAGACCCTAGATGTCTTTGGACCAAATCCGTTTTAGGACATTTGAAGTCGATCTAGCGATGTCGGTCCGTCTGTCTGTCTGGCTGGTGCGCACGATAACTGTCGAAAGGAGTATTTGATTTGGTTCAAATTTGGTACATTGTAATATTATTATCAAACTTAGATCGAGTTCGGAGATGGACAATATTTCCACTCCTTCTGGTACCTCCCCCACAAAAGGTCGAAATTTTCATAAAAAATATTTTACTGCAAAGAAAGAGAAAGGATAATTCGTGCTAGGTCAGGTGAGAAAAATGGACAAAATTGGTACGATACCGGATTGACCCGAAACAACAACATCCTGTTTTTGTATGTTTATTTTTCTGCATTGGGAGCGGCATATCCAGGAATGCTTGCTCCGGATTTTATTGCTCCGTGTCGGGATTGAGCAAAACCCCGGACCTTGGTTCTGCTGGGAACGTCATCCACCACAGATCTGTTTGGGTGCGATGTAATGGATGTAGAGAGTGGGTGCACTTCAAGAACTGTTCCGGACTAAGTATTTGCGAGACTTCAGCGAAAAGGAATATATTGCGACGTGCTGCAGTAACGTAGTCCCCAGCTAGTCCACTTCTTCGTCGTCCTTATCAGAGGCGTCGTCGGAGTATGGAACTCCACCGCAGCATCTAACGCCCAATGTTTGCAGTTCCAACTCCGGATTGTGCATCACTCTTGCAATTCAATTGCAACGGACTCAGGCAAAATAGATGAGATAGTGGAGTTCATGAATCGGAGGAATATTAAGATCGCGGCGGTGCAGGAAACCAACTGAATGAAAATTGCAGCCTACAACGTTTTTATGGTTACAACGTACTAAGGAAGGATCGCACCAAAACGGAGGTGGGGGATTGGCGTTCCTGTTACACCATTCTGTTTAGTACAGACCTATCTCGCTTGAGCTAGTCTTTAGTCGGGGGTAGCAATCATGTGTGAAAATGCCGAGGTAGATGTGCTTAATCTGTATATATCCCGCCGATTAATAGCTGCGAACCGCGTTATTTGCCAGATATAAGACCATTTTTGGTAGGAAATAACCAACTGGAACTAGGGGATTTTAATGCCCACCATGAGTTGTGGCATTCCGTCCTAGGTAATAACCAGAGGGGATCAGCGCAGACAGAGCAGATTAACTGCTCCACATTCTGCACGGTTAACGAGGATGCCCCCACCCAAATAAGAGGAGAGTGTCACAGTTCGCCAGACTTAACCATAGTGTCACCCGGTCTGATAAATGACGTGACTTAGCAACCCGTCATTTCACTTGGCTCACTGGAAAAAGGATGATCCGAAGAGGTGCGCGGAGTTTTTTGCCGACAATTAGTCGAACACCCCAAGAGCGACAGGGCGAAGCGAAGAGTACTACGTCTTATCAGATCTCTTCCCGCCAAGAGGAACCACCACAGTTTACGATGGGTGATATTACAAATGTCATCCGGAACGCTAAGTCACCCAAAGCGTTGGGCCCGGACGGAATCTCAATGGTAAAACTGAAACAGCTGGATACGCCGGGAGTCGAGTACTTAACGAAAGTTCTCAACTTATCGCTGGGCCAGGTGGTCCCGCTACTGACGCCAGGCAAGGATACCAGTAAAGGCGAATCATACAGGCCAATTTCGCCAGTCGCCAACCATCAGCATGGATTGCGTCCACAACATAGTACCACAACAGCATTACACGCCATTTCCACACATATTAATGGAGGACTGAACCAGAACAAGCGGTGTGAAAGAACAGTGTTGGTAGCCCTTGACATATTAAAGGCACTTAATACGGTCAATCATGCCATACTGTTTGAGGACGTGCAGAGAACCACCCTCCTGCCAAGTTTGAAACGAATTCCGGAATAAGAAGTCTAAAGCCCGTAGAGTGAAACAGGGAGTCCCCAAGTTGGGGTGATATCTCCGGAACTGTTTAAGCTTTACCTTTCCGGAATTCCTCGTCCTCCAGACGGCATAGAGATCATAACGTATGCGGATGATTGTACGATCATGGCGTCGGGCGTGGAGCTTGCCGCATACTTTCACGCGAGGAATATGAAAATATCCGCCACGAAATCAACGGCCACACTCTTTACCAAATGGTTCGTGGACATCAGAACACAGCTGAATGTGCAGGTCGAGGGGAATTTAATACCGACCACGAACTACCCTAAGATACTAGGGGCCACATTTGACAGCATGTTCAAGTCGTCCGCGCAAGCCACAGGTATTTGCAACAAGATGAAAAGTAGGAACAAGGTCCTCAAGGCGCTTGTTGACCTCTTATAACGCGATAGGTCGGTCTGTGGACAGCTATGCGGCTCCAGTGTTTTCCGCGAATACTAGTGATACGCAGTGGAAGCACATCCAGATCTGTCAGAACGCTGCCCTGAAATCTGTAACAAGGTGCCTTGTCATGACACCAGTGAACCATCTACCTGAGGAGGCGAAAGTCCTTCCCTTACGTCAGCATAATCATATGCTTTCGTTGCAGTAGCTGTTTGGGTGTTACCGTGAGAGTCATCCCAACCATCATATGGTGGATACAACTCTCCCACCCAGGCTACACCCCTTTAATTGCACAGCCAAGCCTCACTCCAGAAGATCTCTGGCAACAGCCCATTAAAGTAGCCGAAAACCTGGAGCTGGAACCAGATTAACAGAACGCAACCACTTACATGTACTACTGCTACAACAACAAAGGGTCAACATTTTGAATATCCATGAAGCTCAAATACGCCAAATTAATATCCGATTCCATTCAGACTTGGCACATCTCAATATTTCTATCAACTCAAGATCTGTAATAAAGATGGTAGAGATCGGACAATTTCTTCTGGTACCTGCTCCACAAAGGGTTCAAAGTTTTGAAAAACCAAAACGATTATAAAATCCGAAATAAGCGTTTCTACTAACACTAGATCTGATGCGAAGATGGAATGTATCGGTCCACTCCTTATGATACCTCCCCCACAAAGGGTCAACATTTTGAATATCCATGAAGCTCATAAAACCAGAAACCTGAGATGAATATGGAATTTATGATTTCGCATAAAACTGGATCCAAATGTTCAACTTTGTTGTAATTTTGCACATACCAGTATTTTTATCTGTATTAGACGAATAATGAAAACTTACATTTTAACATTTTTTAAAAATTATTAAATATCTCATATAAATTGAAGGGAGTAACCAATATAGTCCAAACCTGGCACGCCGCAATATATGTAGGAGTCAAAATATTTTTAACTAATCGAAAATTGGCTGAGGGTATACATCTGTCGGCTGATACTTTTTATCTTGTTAATACTCAGAAATACCAAAATCTTCGTGTCAATTCTAACTCGTTTGCGAATATTCATGGAATATGATGAAGAAACATGATTAAAATGGTAGTAATATTCCAAATGTGATTATATGTTATAAGCTAACGGATGTATTAAGAATTCTTTTTTTGACTTGGGAACAATGATGAATGAACATAATTTTTCAATTTATTTAAGAATTATCCTTTATTGCCTAATTTTGAAGTTCGATTACATATTCCTATACCAATATTGAACTTAATTATTTAATTAACTAACCCACAACGGATTTAGTTGGAAATTGGACTTAAACCCTCATATTAACGAAAATCGAAAAGTATGTTTTTCCTACACTTCGACCGATACATTACATTGAAATAGCAATACTATCATTGCATGAGCAAATGTCTGTAATAATCCGAGCTTTCTCGTGATGCCAACAGACATTCAAGCATATAAACAAAAATTAATGAAAATGAAGATCGTCATATTTTTACCACTAGTTCTATCTTATTGGAAGTTCGAATCGGTATTTTATTTCAGGTACTTAGGTATTTCATTAATATTTATGCCTTAATACTATTTTTGCTGGTTTCAGTTATATTTTCGATATTATCGATTTGTAAAACTTCGTCCACATTCAATGGTCCTTCTAAATCCTTAAGAGACAACTGAAATAAAGATTTTTGATTTAAAATATTTTCCAAAAAAATTAAACGATGTAGGTACTAACCAGTTTTACACTGTACCCCATAGCCTGCAGAAGTTGGACTTTGAGTCGTAGTATTCCAACAGGTTGATTACTAAATTGCAATGTCTGACTTTTTGTCATAATTTCAACAAATACATAAGAATCATGCGACAACGAAGAAAGCTGGACAAGTACTCCTGGAATATTTATACCATTGATAGGACAGACAATTGCAGCAGACGCCACCGAATTTTCTTCCCTCAATCGAGAAAGTAATGTGTTGTATGGAATATCAGGATTTAATAAATACGCTGGAACAGAAGACTCAATGTTAAATGATTTAAAGCCTTTGGTTAAGGGCATGCACCACGTTGGCTCTTCAATTTGTGCAGCTGATAGCAATACGGTTAGCCGACTGTCTACTTTAGGTTGTTGTCGTTTGGGAGACGAATCGGACTTTATTTTAATTGCGTTTTGCAAAAGCTCCTTAGATTTTAAACCCAAACTCCACAATGATAAACATGCTTCGACAAGTTGATCCGGAAAGTATTTGAATTCATTATTATACACCATACGTAGAAGTACATCTTCGACTGTTTGAAGTTCGTGCGGAGTCATGCGACATTTTAACTGGAAACAACACCAAAGAAACGTAGTTATATCCTTGCCTCTTATACGGTTGACATAATTATCTGTATTATTATTACGCAATTTGGCTATGAACTCTTGCACTAATATTTGCATACATTCCTCATTATCCCAGAGGTTGTCGGCAAACAATGCAAAAATATGTATTTGACCCCGAGTTTGAAATTGATTTATTTGTTGAGAATTCATACAGATCTTGGCAACATGTTCACAAACTTCGTCTGAATTAACTCTTTGGAAGCGAAGAGATTTTATTAATGTTATTAAGAGTGCATCATTTCCACTTTTAACTGTAGACGTTCCTAAAACTTCTTTGACAAGTCGTTGATTAAATTTCTCATATTCTATCTTGGTGGACGTTTTGTAGGCAGCGCTAGCTACCAAAGCCACATCCAAGGTACTCAACTCGTCTAAAAATGATTCCAAGTGTAAATGAAGAAACGAATTCCACTGCTTCTGTAAGTTATTTCTGGAGATTTTCTTTGAAAGGCCGAAGTAAAAGCTGACTTGAACAAATAATTCTTTAAATTTACAACCATCTTGTAATAAGGTGTCATATAACTTCTTCATGCCCTCGGAATAAAAATCCAATCTTGTCATCCAATTCGGAATTAAAAACAAGAACGCATACATTGTTCGCAGAATAGTATCCACATTCATATCACATAATTTGTCCACTGCATAGCGGTCCAATTCATTTAAAACTTGGGCAAATTTTGAGGGATCTGCATTTGACCTATATGTCGATGCGTACACTATTATTGAGGCAAGTTGATCCGCTGAAGTCTTTGACAGTTCTTTGTGAAAATACTTCATATCACTAACGGGAAAAAAGTCAGCATAACGAACCTTATTGGGCACAATCTCACATATATTGTGTCTTTCGATAGCTACGTGCTTTGCAAACCTTGTGAGGAGCGTACCGGCCTCATCCGATGTCTCATACAGTAGATCTTTAGCGCTGAAGGATGCATATGTCTGACTTATATTCCCTAGTCTGGAACAGCACTGACTTAAATATCTCCATTTTATAACCGATTTTAGACTATTGGTAAACATTTCACTCAACTTTATAAAAATTTTATATAATAAACATCAGTGCATGTGGTTTCGTGCTGTCATTATCGCAAAGAAAAATAAAAGAAATCGGTTAATCGTTTTTTTTTTTTTTTTTGTCGATGTTAAGTATAGTACACACTATCATTTATGTTCAGTTATCGTTTGCTGGCTAGTGGGCATTCCATGGCCTATTCCACACCAGAGATGGGCATAATACACTGTATTTTTAGTGTACCAATAATTTCACTATCACTATTCATTTAGTGGTAGTGCAATTTTTTATTACACTACCACTAAAGGGTTAGTGATAGTGAAAAATTAAATTGCAATTTTTTTTGAAATATCACTAAATTTAGTGATAGTGCTATTAAAATTTCACTACCACTAAAATTTAGTGGTAGTGCATTTTTTTTAAATATCACTAAATGGTTAGTGGTAGTGCAATTTAATTTTTCACTACCACTAACCCTTTAGTGGTAGTGGAATAAAAAATTGCACTACCACTAATTATTTAATTCTTAGAGCATTAAAAATTTAGTGCAATATACCCAATCCTGATTCCACAACATTGTTGAAAATAGAGAGACTGGAAATAGAGTGATCGCCCATAATGTGGCGTTTCCACTGCACTTCATTCGCTCTCTATTCGTTGTTTGACCCATAACTATGAAAAAACTAGTTAATTCTTCACACAAAATTTCCTGAGCGAACACTCATATTTGTACGTTGTTCAAATCAAATCACTCTCAGAACAACGAAAAAATGTCTACCATCCCTATCAAATGAGAGCATTTATCGAAAAAATAAATTATGACATTTAAAAATTAAAAATAGAAAAATTTAATGAAATTTTAAAAAAATTTGGGAAGACTGAAAGTTATGAATGAAAACTACAATGTTAAATGGCGTATGTACATTCAAACGAAAGTAAATTTTGTTTTCTCTCTCTCGAGGTACGCATTTGGTCCACGAGTTGAAATTTCTACAGAAAACTGCTAACAAAAGAGGCAATATTTTCAAAATGTTTCTATCGGCAGAAAAATGTTTGACAAGTGTCTCTCCAACAGAATTTAAAAATGGAAAAACACAAAAATATGATCAAAATGTCAACATTTACACAAAAAGTTGAAAACGTGAATGAAAATTGTAAAATTAATGATATAATAAATCTTTGGGAGGAAAACAATAATTTCTTCTATTCATATTAGTGAGAATTTCATGTATTTTCGTATAAATTCCCATTAAAATCAACAAACAAAATTTTTGAAAAAAGGAAGGAATCGTGCCGTATGAACGGGTTAATTCGTGTACCTAATTCTGAGAGCGAACAACGTTGTTCGGTTTTCAATGGAAACATGCTATAATGCGCAGTCTAGCGTGCCAAAGAGGGAAATTTGCGATAATAGATGTCCAATCGTTGTTGTCTCTTCATCATCCTTATGCTACGTTCACATGGCACGTGATTCGCTCTCTATTCCTTGTTCGACCATTAATTAAGATATATCTATTTAATTCCTCACACAAAATTTGCTGAGCGAAAAAATATTATAGTTTTTTGTTCCATTGTCCACACTCGGAACTAAGATGAAATGTTTGCCATCCCTAACAAATGAGAGCATTAACAAAAAATAAATTATGACATTTAAAAATTCAAAATAAAAAATTTAATGGGATTTTAAAAAAAATTGGAAAGACTGAAAATTATGAATGAAAACTACAATGTTGAATGGCGTATGTACATTCAAACATAAGTAAATTTTGTTTTCTCTGTCATCCACACAGAAAACTGGAAACAAAAGAGGCAATATTTTTAAAATGTTTCTATCAGCGGAAAAAAAGTTTGATATAAAATTTGTTCAAAATGTCAACTTTTACATAAAAACATGAATGAAAATTGTAAAATTAAACGTTTGATGCTTTAAAATTTGATATTGTGTTGGGTCTGTGGTGTACCATTTTTCCTTTTGCTAAATCATCAGCTTTTTCGTTTTTACAGTGACCTGCTACCTAAAAGGTATTTCAGGGTACATTTACTTCTCAGATTTGTATCAACGATTGAAGAAGATACAGGCCTGAGTCTACTGTGAATCCAGGCATATTCTTTGCTCAGCTATGAAATGTATAGTAGCCTTACAGGAAGTCGTTTATATATAGATAACTTTTATACATCCGTACAAATAAAATGATGAAATTCTATGTATCGGTTTATCTCCTATATGAAATTGCTTTCCGGTTTCACTTATTTCAAATATCCACGAATTTTAGATTTCCATATTACCTATGCCTACCATATGTTGAATATACAATTTTTCACTGATACTTTATACAAACTTAACATCTCGACTTTAGATCAATTGCATTGTTAATAGTTGAAGTCATGCAACAATTGTTTATGTGTAAATGAAAGTCGAATTCAAATTACACGAATTTTTTGACATATCAAATTGATACCAGCTAGCTGAAAGGGTGCAAAATAATTTGCCTCAAATTTGATATGTCAAGTAAATTCGCCTTGCTTAAATACTACCAGGTATTTCTACCATGGACCAAACTAATATCTTTTGGTTTGTCCAGCAAAATCTTTGTGAGAGAGTAAGGTGGTTTTATTCTCTTTTGCAAGGAAAATGCGAAAAGTTAACAGACGGTATTTCTGTAAAAGCTTGCAACTAATCAGCTGATTTGTCAAAACAAACCATTTTGTCCCCTATTATAAAAATAAAAATAAAAGAAGCACCACCAATTTTATAAGTTTTTTAAATAAAAAGGAAATTAGCAATTAAACAAAAATGTGAGCAATAAAAGAAAGATAGATTTTATGTGTTCCCCGGAGTCCTTTAAATTTGTTGCTAATGGCGTTTGTCTAAAAACGTTGGAAATAGCCTTTTATTTTCTTATTACATATTAATATTTACGTTTTTCACATTTTGTAAAGTTTATCTGAAAAAACAATTAGTCTTGTCATTCCAAAAAAAATATTTTAATATTGAAAGCACAAAAAGAAATAAACAAACAATAGAAAACATCTGATTGAATGTCGATGAATGGGATGAAGAAGAGTTGCAAGTGATTGCAAGAAGAAATAGGTGTGTCTGGTTACCATAAAATTTGTAACAATTGTTACAAATTGTTACTGGAAGTCGTCTGTTAACCCGAAAGTTCTGCAAAAGAGAGCGGTTGGAGAGAGAAATTTTGACAGTTCTTTCAGTGAGAGTTTGCAAATTCTTCCTGGACAAATTTCAATCAGATGTTTTCTAATGTTTGTTTAAATTTTTTGTGCTTTCAATTTGAAAATATTTTTTTGGAATTAGAAAGACTAATTTATTTTTGGAGAACAACTTTACGAAATGAGAAAAACTTAAGTATTAGTATGTAATAAGAAAATAAAAAACTATTTCCAACATTTTTAGACAAACGCCATTAGCAACACGTTTAAAATTTCCGGGGAACCCTTCAAATCTATCTTTCTTTTATTGCTCGTGTTATTATTTTATTGCTAATTTCCTTTTTTATTTCTAAAACTTATAAAATTGGTGGTGCTTTCTTTCTTTCAATTCTTTTGATGGGGGACAAATTGGTTTGTTTTGACAAATCAGCTGATTGCTTGCAAGTTTTTGCAGGGATTCCGTCCGTTTACTTTTCACAGTTTTCTTGCAAAAGAGAATAAAACTACCTTACTCTCTCAGAAAGAAGTTGCTGGACAATTCCTGAAGGAAAAGTAACCAGGCACACCTAATTTGTCCAGCAAGAATTTGCAAACTCTCACTAAAAGAACTGTCAAAATTTCTCTCTCCGATCGCTCTTTTGCAGAACTTTTGGGTTAACAAACGACTTCCAGTAACAATTGTTACAAATCTTAGGGTAACCAGACACACCTATTACCACCTACATTTATTGTCAAACGGTTTTTCGCCTAGAGGAAATAACATTTCAGCAATTTTCTATATTGTCAATTTTGACAAAAAATATATTTGACAATTACAATTAGTTTTAAAGCAATGTCGTGGATATTTTGAACGTTCAGCATACTTTCGCTGTACGATGGTTATACTAAAACGTGTACCTCAATTTCAAAGAATTCGTTTGGATAGTCATTCAAATACAGAATATTGAAGGTACAGTTATATGAAGACCATAACAAAACGTAAATAGACAATTTATCAAAAGAGGCGGAAAAGACTGCAAGTGCAATGTAACCAGCAACAGAGGAAAATACCCGTTACGAACATCCAATATTTAATGAAAAAATATGGAGAAACAAGGATATAGGCCAACTTCCAATTTATCCTCCATGCCAACCAACGACTTCCTTAGTTCGTTTGAACTCTACCGTGACTACAACAGATGTCAAATCAACTTAGAAAATTTCGCATTATTTTGATGAACTGCGAACTTAAAATACCCTCCATTATGTGTGGGAGTGTATAAATAAAACAAATTAAAACTTTTCTCTTCAAATTGAAAGCACAAAAAATTTAAACAAACATTAGAAAACATCTGATTGAAATTTGTCCAGGAAGAATTTGCAAACTCTCACTAAAAGAACTGTCAAAATTTCTCTCTCCGATCGCTCTTTTGCAGAACTTTTGGGTTAACAAACGACTTCCAGTAACAATTGTTACAAATCTTAGGGTAACCAGACACACCTATTACCACCTACATTTATTGTCAAACGGTTTTTCGCCTAGAGGAAATAACATTTCAGCAATTTTCTATATTGTCAATTTTGACAAAAAATATATTTGACAATTACAATTAGTTTTAAAGCAATGTCGTGGATATTTTGAACGTTCAGCATACTTTCGCTGTACGATGGTTATACTAAAACGTGTACCTCAATTTCAAAGAATTCGTTTGGATAGTCATTCAAATACAGAATATTGAAGGTACAGTTATATGAAGACCATAACAAAACGTAAATAGACAATTTATCAAAAGAGGCGGAAAAGACTGCAAGTGCAATGTAACCAGCTACAGAGGAAAATACCCGTTACGAACATCCAATATTTAATGAAAAAATATGGAGAAACAAGGATATAGGCCAACTTCCAATTTATCCTCCATGCCAACCAACGACTTCCTTAGTTCGTTTGAACTCTACCGTGACTACAACAGATGTCAAATCAACTTAGAAAATTTCGCATTATTTTGATGAACTGCGAACTTAAAATACCCTCCATTATGTGTGGGAGTGTATAAATAAAACAAATTAAAACTTTTCTCTTTTATTTTTTTTAATATTTATTTCAGATATTTAGTATTGCACTTAATTACACAAAACTTAAACCATAACGCATAATATCTCCTTGTTTATATTCCCTCATATTGGACTTCAAACGTAACGAAAAAAGGTTAAGCTTTTCAATTATACCTAAGATGGAGAAGTACATGAGCAAACCACAAATACCAAAACAATTTACTAACATCGGTTCCACTGTATAACCCCGAAATAATAGATTTTCTTTAAAATAAAACGATGTGACATCTTTTAAAAAGTTATCTTTTCCATATTATGCTAACCAAAATAAGATTCAGAAATTTCTGTATTTTATTTCAATGAATTGCTGGCCGTTTACTTTCACATTGAGGTATCGTACGCACCTACATTTCTCAGTGTCCGCTGAGGTGGTAATAATATTTGGCTTGACAACAATTAAAATCTCTTTGCCCATGGGTGCATTGTCGTAACAATTGTTTAGACGCCAAAGAAAAAATTTCGGATGCATTTAGTAACGCCATAATGCCCTGAATGGACGACGATACCCATATTCCAGCTTCTTTTTGAAATATTTTAAGTCTTTAAGAAGATCTGCTCTGGCCCCCGGCTGGTGTGCAAACTGCTATCCAATGAATGAATATTCCTGTTCCAAAGACAACTCAATGAACGATTTACAGTTTTGGAAAATGATACTGCATTATACTATAGTATAGAATTTGATAATTGTTTTTATTTGGACGGAATCTGGCCCTCAGTCAAATTTACCATTTAGATATTGAGTGGACCTAAAAAATATATCCTTAAGTTTTGTCTAGTTAGAAAATAGTAAAATTTATTCTTCCGCGGACAATATTTATCAAAATATTGTACACTGGGGTTGATGCATTGATACAATATTTAAGATAAATTTGTTTATATCCTGCTAGAGAGATTTTTTGAGTGATTCTTGTCCATTACCGACGGCGATTAGCTCTTTCTCATTTGAAATTGTTATATGTCAAAGTCATGTTAAAATTAAGAAGGTAAAGTCATTTCAAATAAGCATATCCATCTCTGCATTTTCTGTAATATACCTTATCAAATTTAACTACATAAAAACAGGTTTCCATCTCTGGTTTGTGTATATACAATGGATTTATAAATACAAATTTCGACATTGAGATGTCAAATGAATAATTTTTGAAAAAAAAATGTAGACATATGATTGTTTGACTCCACCTCCTTGATTCTACCATGGTCACTTTTTATATACTACATACAGAATACTTTAAAATAATTGAAAACACAATCGAAAGTAAATATTATCATTAGTAATTTGACACCTATTGAAGTTGTCTGGCGAATTCAAATTATGTTAACATCAAATGTAGGTATCAGCTGGGCTTGCTTGTCGACCTTATAATGGGCCATGGATAAGAACATGCACAATTAATTTGGCATGTTTAGCCAGACAAATAAAAAAATTAAAATAAATCAGTGTCCTACCTTGATTTCATGATGACAACTACATATCCTCCGCATTACTTGTTTATTTATAATACAATAAAGACCGAGTTGATGTAAGAACATGTAGACGATTATTTTCTGCCTTAAGTAATTGCCTGGCTTTTTGTAAAATGACACATGAGCAGCTTGACATCATGTAGTGGTATATTGAAGTCATATTATAAGGGAAAACTAAGGGAGGATTCTAGTCGGCTCTGATATCCCTTTGTGATACGTCTCCAAATATGCGATGTCATGATGCCAAGCTCTCTACGTATAATCTTAAGAAAAACTGGCATCAACTTTTAAGTTGGTAAATTCTCATGTCTGTTTACTGTATCACCTTGTAAATCGTTGTCATATTTTAAAATAAATTTATACAAAATTATACCTTTACTTATTTCTAGTGACCATATTTTTTATCTGTGATATTTTTTGTTGTCCGTCTACGGAGTTTACTTAGCATTTGCCTAATGATAATTCTTTATTTAATATGTTTGTGAAATCTTCGTTCGTATAGTTCTTATTCCTTCTAAACAATGTATCCAAAATGCGTGCTTTACATTTACCAATGTTCATAATGGAGTACCAATCATCATAATTTGATACCTTTGCATACATTGATGGATAGACTGGGTCGTGAGCACATTGATAATGTCTTTCAGATGCCATAAGACTCTCGCTCTTTCCTTTCTTTAAGTCATGCACATGTGAGCAAACGGCACATTCAAAACTTTGAAACAAATCACCGTTATGCATTGCAGTCTTTCGCATGTTGAGATCATTTAGAAGACGTTTATTAGTAATAGGCTGCAGCATGTTGTATTTATGGTTTAAATATGAATTATAAGCTCGATCGTCGGCATCTAATTCCTTAAGATACATTGCTAGGGATTCAGGACTTTTGAAATCTCTTACATCTATAAACGACTTTTCATTCGGTGACCAATCCTGAAAGTGAAGAACTATTATTTTATTCTTAACCATATTTAAATGCAAATATAATACTTTTATAGAAGGTGATCCGTAATAAATAGGTATTGATCCCGCTATGAGAGGCCTCCAAAATTTTTCTGTTATGTAATCCTCACAAACTCCATTTTCATACGATATTACAAATTTATAGCGACCTATGAATTTTAACAGTTCCGGCGCATATAGGTTGTTTAAATAGTCGTGCTGTAATTTCTGCAATCTTTATTAGAGAAATATTATTATTCTTTGTTTTTTGTATGTCTTTTTAATCAATGTGTACCTGTCTGGCAAATTTCGATTTTTTAAACAGGTTCCAAATGAGTCAACTTTAATGTAATTCATCAATTCCTTCACGTAGTCATCACGCCCAGACATTGTATCACAGTCAGACTGAATGAATAGAACTAAAGCATGATCTTTGTAACGTGATTTTTCTCCTATTGGTATTGTATAGGTGGGACAGGTCAAGTTTTCAACATTAGTCAAATAAAAAGTTGTCAATGGCACATTACTATTTCGACTGAATGTTGATGTAAAATTGAAATGCTGTAGCCAATCATTATATGGCATAAATGGTACATTTCTTGGCGATTCCTCGTGTATCAAAGCCCATATGTGATGAGGCAGGCGTGGTAGAGGGAAATCATCAGTTTTAACGTTTGATCCATAAAATAAAATTGCCTAAGGCATAAAAATGTATGTATTAGACAAAAATAGCAATTCAAAGATTCTAAAAAGATCTTTTTTTATTTTAAACTAATAAATGTGAGCAGTTTACTACCATGTTTTTCCGTTTACGCTTAATAGAAATCTTTTTCCATCTTTTATGTTGGTAAAATTTTCCAACTTGGTTTGCTCCGTACCAGTGTTTTTACTACAATAACCGATTTTCTCTTAATGATATCTAAAAAAATAAAAAAATAGTAGATTCTTGCAGGTTCAGGGACAGAGCAACAATATGTTCGTACTAAAGTAACTGAAATATATTTATGCTATTACATTAATTGTGACAACTAATTTTGAGCCATATAAAAAAACCTTCCTTTTAATACATTTAAAAGAACACTGGCCCATGGCATAATTACAGAAGGTAGAACAAAGCTAGCCCCTAAATACAATTTTTTCTTTTGCTGCCCTTATTCTATCAAAGAATATACACATTTTTTGTATGGGTTTGTATTGTTTTGAATAATAAATACAATAATTTCAAATTCGACTGCAAAATAAATGCATATTTTCGACGTTAATGGACAGCACATTGTACAATTTTGTGATATTGTCCTAAAATTTTAGATTCAATCTTGTGCTTTGGTTGCTTAATTTCAAAGGAACTAGAAAAATACAACTATGTGCTGAAGTCTTTTAGTGTCAAATAGACTTTTAAATATGCAACAGTTGGTTTTGTTTATTTTTCATTTTTTTCCACAAGATTGAATCTAAAATAGTAGGACAATGCAGTTTTATCACAAAATTGTGCAATTTGTTACCCGTTAACGTCGGAAGTATTTATTTTGCAACCGAATTTGAAATAATTTCAAAAAAAAAAATTATTCAAAACAATACACACATACACAAATTGTGTATTTGTTTTGACAGAATAAGGGCACCAAAAAAATTGAATTTAACGTCGGAAGTATTTATTTTGCAACCGAATTTGAAATAATTTCAAAAAAAAAATATATTCAAAACAATACACACATACACAAATTGTGTATTTGTTTTGACAGAATAAGGGCACCAAAAAAAAATTGAATTTAGGGGTTCTGTAATTGTCATGGTAGACTACATAAAGAACATATATTTATAATCAGCATAAAATTCTAAGTCGATTTATAGTGTCAATTAGACTTTTGAATATGCAAAAGTTGGTTTTGTTTATTTTTCATTTTTTAACAAAATTCTTATACTGGGGAAAAATGGCGAAACAAGAATGGAATTGTGGGGTTATTCCACAAGATTGAATCTAAAATAGTAGAACAACACAGTTTTTAACTTTGAAAAAATTGCAAGTATAGAGGTCTACCTGTTTGGCTTGTAATGTCAGAATTAATATCAAAGCAATACAAACTCAAACAACTTGTTGCATTTATTTTGAATAAATAATTGAAAAACGCGATAATTGAATGAAAGGTCAACACTTCTTTTCAAAATTATGTACTATATATCTCTAAAGGATTATTTCGCATGGATGCATGGTACAATGATATCAAGGTATGGCTATGATACCATATTATTTCAATTTTTTTTATTTTCTTGGCTTAATATGTCATCTTTATTTGTTTATGTATGTGTTTTCTTTTCAATAACAAAAAAATTGATCAGAAAATATTAAAATTCGGATGTTTTCAAAATGTTTATTTCAACGTAAGCATCGACAAAATCTAGAGTTTTTGTAGCGAAATAATCCTTTAGAGATATATGGAACCTGGTTTTGAAAAGAAGTGTTGACCTTTCATTCAGTTATCGCGGTTTTTTAAATTATTTATTCAAAAATAAATGCAACAAGTTGTTTGATTTTTAATTGTTTTGATACTAATTTTGACATTACAAGCCAAACAGATAGACCTCTATACTTGCAATTTTTTCAAAGTTGACCTACCTTCTCTTCATTGTACCATGCATCCATGGTACAATGAAGAGAAGGTAGGTCAACTTTGAAAAAATTGCAAGTATAGAGGTCTACCTGTTTGGCTTGTAATGTGAGAATTACTATCAAAACAATAAAAAACAAACAACTTGTTGCATTGATTTTCAATAAATAATTTAAAACCGCGAAAACTGAATGAATGGTCAAAATTTCTTTTCAATATCATGTTCT